CATACTATGAAATTGTGATTGTCGTGGAATGTTTCAATGATTATGGAAATTATCGTGTCAAACCGTATTTGTGTTGTTTAGAAGGCTCGTAATTGAAAATGAAGAAAAATGTTCATCAACAGCAACTTTAATGAAAGAATCAAGTCTTGGCATTTTCAATCTAGTAAAATTATATTAAACGCGATGAAAAAAATAAAGAAATTGAACGAATAGAAAGTAGTAATTTAAATTACTTACAGTACTACTACTGTAAATCTAAAATGTTAAATGACATTAACAACTTCTACCACATATTTTCCTTAGTGATTCAGCACAAAAAACGAACAAATTTCAAATCTCCGTTCTAATCGAACGACATGAACGTTTACGCAAACTTCAATCACGAGCCTCATCCGGTAAATGGTGTTCGATTATGTTAAAAGGGTACCTATCTTTGGTATTTTGAAAAGAAGAACACTGCTTACAAATTTATTCAAATAAAATTGTTTCATGAATTCATTTAATTAATTTTTCTATATAAAAAAGCGATTATAGTGGTTCAATAACAAGCGTTTACGTTTCGAAATAATAAACATACAATAAATATTTAAAAATTATAGTTAAGTAAGAAAATACCATCCGTAAAATATACCTCCCTGCGAATAACATTTCATAAACAAAATTATTTTAGTAAATTGGAAGAACTTCCAAGCAAAGAAAATTGTGGAAGATTGTTTAAATATAATGTTACATACTGACATTTTTTGGACTTTCACATATTGATAAATTTGAGATTTAGAAATTTAGCAAGTTAGAAATACTTTTCAGAATTTTTAAAGTTGAAACTTTACTAAATTTAAGTTTAACGTTATTGCAAGTTTTTAACCTGAGAATTCATGGAGTATGAATCAATTCTAATAATAAGTAGTAATTGACGATATCTGTGGCAACTCTATTGGCATATAAAGTTTAAAGTTGTAAATCAAAGTTAATACCCACTGCTACTATTTTTAAATAGCAGTAAATAAAACAGTAAATACTATTTTTATCCTATTGCTTTAAATTAATTTTTTTCTATTAATGTGTCATTTACTGTTTTAATGGACACTTACTATTATTTAAACTAGTTATCTGTTTTCGTTAATTAATTTTGGCACAAACAACCTAAATATGCAATAAAAGACTGCACAAATTGTTTAACGTAACGAAGATGATGTATCCGACTTTTGTAATGATGGTGAGTTATTTTTAGTTTTACTCAAAAACCTCTTAAAACATCATAAGAGAATATGTTGCATAGTGGTAAAATAAGGAAAGATGGGAAAATGCGATTTTGCCATAAATATTTCTAAAAAATTATGAATATAATCTTAATTTATATCAGAATGTGGGTTTTACCAAAATGAATTTTCAAACTTGTCTTCTATTTATTTATTATTTATTTTATTATTTTCAATTCATATGTACTATTATGCACACGATAGAATTTCGTCTAAATCACGGTTAAACTTTTTCGAAAATTATGCTATTATATGTATACATCTAAAATATTATTTCATGCGTTTGAAATACAATATTAACACATTAACAACGAAAAATAATTGATTATAAACAAGAAACAGTTATGTTATTATTTGACATTTAGTTGAAAGTGGATTATTGAATGTAAAGCTTTACTGCGTTTTATTATGTCAAAAAGATTTTAAAAAACAAGTTAAATATTTACATTTAACAGTAACAATTCAGCAACGATTTACCAATAACGATTCTTGCTTATTTATGTACGCATAGTTCCTTCACATTCCTCTATTCACGGAGAACATAGAATACGCGTGTCTCGTCTTTGATTTTTATCGTGATAAACTACCAAATAAAATGCAACGAAACCGGACCAATTATCCGCGTGTGTATAGCGAATGACCAGAAAAACTACCGTGACGACGGACTTCTACACACGAAACAGAAAACCGCACCCCAAAGCGCGTGACTAGAGCTCAAAATAAATGAAAAAAACAAAATAAAGTCGAACCGAGACAACGATGATGATGAAGACTGGCGACCGACGAAGAAAATGAACCACGAACGAAGGAGCCCTACACCTCACCCCTTCTTTTAAATCGTGTGCAATCACCTTTTGGGGTGTCGAGAGTGGCCAGCTCCTATATTATTATCTTCTAATGCCAGCAGCATTGTACCAGCGGGAGACAGTGGTGAGAATGAAAGGAGACTTGTCTGTGAAAAAAACGGGAAGAAAAAACGTGGCGACGAGACGGTAGAGAAAAATGAAAACCCTCACCGATCATCCCCGACTACCGACATCCTTTTCAGCGATACAACTTTCTTCTTTTCTATTCACCGATTCAGTCTATCCACCTTGAGTACCTTACGGCGCGTCTCCACTGGTGTTAACAAACAGTTTGCGATTCGTTCTTTATAAAAATCGTAGTGTTTATAAATTGTTTATATTTTCTAGTTTCACAGTTTCTGAACTGTTTATAGTATTTTTGTTTATAGTATAACAGGACTCCATAAAATCTTCTTCGAACAATTTTCAAGTTATCTATTATTTTACAGCAGACTCTCGTTATATTACCACAAACAGAGATGACTACACTAGGTTTATTATAGGTGAAATGTTTAGGAAATAATCGTATAGTTGACACAGAGGTTAGGTTTGAACTACTTCATCTTCTATTATACAATTACTAGTAGGCCAGTTAGTCGTTGACTGAAGTCAACGACGATTAGGTTTAAATGATAGGTAGCGAGCGATAGTGATGATGATAATAATTATTAAATAATAATATTGGATTTGGAGGAATATTATAAAAATGCGTGTGATGGTGTAAGTATTATTATGTAGTTGCTTGTTAATATTGTTATTGTTGTTGTGGTGAAGCAGAAGAATCTACTAAAACAAAAGGTGAACAAAAGTCAGAAAGGGGATCTCACCACGTTCGCCGTAGCCAGACAACTTCTTACTTTTATTATTATACATATAGAGATACGACAGTGACTATGTTTTAATAAGCTATTGCATTTTGATAATTCGAAAATTATAATCATTTCAATTTGCTATATTTTGATTGTATGTAAAAAGAAAATTACACTAAACGCGAAAAAGATTTACACGGAAAGTTATGGAAATTTTGTATGATGTATTCCGGTTTTTGTATCACGAATTTTTGAATAATGAATTATTAAAATCTATTATTAAATTCGATATAGATCAAATGACTATTATGAAATTTTGATCAAAATATTTTTTTAATGAACAGCGAGAGATGATTAAAATCTTCTGAATGTCGCTCACGAAAATGGCCTTGACAACATACAATTCCGAAATCAAAGTCATTGAAAGTAAATCCCATATACATTATTTACATTACATTAGCACCTTCTTGAATTTGCATCCACTTTATGTAAAATCGTAGTTGACTGTTATATCACTGGAAAATATAAAAAATAATTGCAACTAAAATCAATTATATTGAAAGTTGACTAAGAAAAATATTTACAAATATTCCAATTACCACATACAATCTAATAAAGTTATATCTCGTGTTTAATATTTTTATCGCTTAATGACACAAAAAGTAACATTAATTAAAATCAATCCAGCTTGAAATTTATTCAGCAGATATGTTTAATATTGACATTTCAACATTTTCAAAGTCCTGAATGTTTATAGAGAATGTCAGTATAAGTGTCAGACAATTTTTCATTTTTGTAATTTTTGGTTCTTCGAAGTGAAGGTTAATGCGATTTTCTTACTTTCCTTTGGCACAGCATTTAATATTGTTCTTAATATGGAACATTATAGTATCTTGCAAACAGACATCACAGTTGTTGGATCATGAATCTTAAACAAAAGTAAGACGTCATATTGGTCAATTATTTGAAAAGATATTTAATATTTAATTCTTCAAATTCAAAAAAGATTAAATTACTAAAGAATATCACAGCAGTTGTAATAGCGAAGATGTAGAATAGTGAATTTTTAAAATACTCTATCACCAGTTCAAAATCTCAACATCATCATTCATTCCTTTGTACATACATTTATTAACGGACATACTGTTGAAAACACTTGTTATGTTATGAAGAAAAATTATGTTGGTAACATATATTGTAGAATGTGGGAATGTGTAAATTATTGTTATCATTTATTGTATTTATTGTATTGTTATCATTTAACGTTCCAGTGTTAGATAGGAACCAAGTAATATGTTGTAAATAATTTTACACTAAACATTTGATCTAAATTGTATTATAACATTTTTGTTAATTTCTTCTTACATAGTTCTAAGTTGTGTTATGTAGAATCATCGATTTGTAGTGGCAACTATACGATACTATATTACAAAGTGTTCGACGTATTTCTCTTATTCCTATCCTTGCATGACATTAAAAATCATAATCGTAAACATAAATGAATTTATCTTAATACACGGTTTCGCATGGCATTGAAAAATATCTAGCATTCCATTTATAGAACCGAAGGTCTTCTTCATTTCTTGAAAGGTAATGTAGATATGAAAAGTTTGATATACGTTATTATATTTCTAGTAAAATATAATATACAACTTTTTTATCCATTTTTTTTTGCTATTGTATTATGTTAGAAAAATAAAAGATACGAAAAAATGATTGAAAGTATTATTACAAATAATATATTATTACAAAATTGAAGAATATATAAATGTATGCATAAAAAGCAAATAAAAAAGAAAGTATGTAATTACTATGTTAAAAACTATAGTAGATGTGAAGAACGTATTAAGTTAGAATGAAAATGTAATAAATTTTTATACCGTATAGAAGTGTACAATTAAATTTTCAAAAGTTTATTGTATAAATTAAAATCTTTTTCCTTCACGGTTGTATTCAAGAATTTCGATGTTATCAAAGCAAAACATGTACAAAATTTCATGCACCTACTAATCATAATTTGTCGATTTTATTAATTCTGTGATTAGTAAACTTTAAATAAACGCTATTTGGTTGAACGTGAATAACAGAATTTCTTCTAACGTTTCTCTCCATTTCTTGTCAAATTCTTACAAGACCAAGAATATAAGCCGTGTTGACATTTAGGATGAACGGTAAGACACGACATGACAAGAAGGAAATATAGCAATCGAAAGATCGCATAAATCATTTTCCCCGTACCAGTCGCAAAACGAGAAACTTTCTTCGCAATATACCACATAATTTCCTTCTAACAGTCAGGTATCCTGACTGTTTTGTGGAACGATACGACGACGAACATTGCGTACGAATAATAGCACGACGTACTAACGAGTTCCAGTAATAGCAAAAAGTGACTTTGTTAACTAAAAAATATCTCGATAGATGAAAAGAGGAATGCGAATTTATTTGTCCGCTACTAGCAAATAATAAGGATGGTAATAGAAATAACAACAATACTGATTACTGCTCTTATTACACGAATACATCTTTGTTACATATAAGCATAATAATGTAACCATACTAATTACGTTCCATATTGGTATAGGACAATTTGCACCAGCTAATAAGCGTATTGTGCCGCTGTTTTCTATACGAGTACAAGCAATCAAAGTGAAATTAAAGCGATGACCGTATATACGTATGTAGACACCTCTCTTCACACTGTCTTTTGAATTAAGATTGATGCTTCGCTATTGAACATTCCGAGACACTTAAATTTAATTGAAATTGAATTACTCGAGACTGGGAACTCTCATTCTCAGGGTCAATCTTGTTGTTGTAAAGCAGCGATTCGCAATCTTTCTGCATGGCACGAACGCTTTTGATTACGAAATAAATTTGCGACACATTAAACTCGCTAATTAGTTCAGAATATTTCCAGTCTCATTGGTAAACATAGAAAAAATACTATTCCCAAATTTGAGATTTGAAAAGTTTATAATTTTGAGATTAATTAACGTTGAGATTATGGAGTTTTGAAATTTTATTGCCTCAGAGTTATTGAATTTGGGTACTTTTGTATGTCAGGAATTTTCGAAAACTTAATCATTGAACTATGATTTGGAATTTTGCGAATTAAAAATTTGAATATTTGAAATTGTGAAATTTTAGAATACTAAAACTTAAATGAATATTTTAAATAATATTTTCCCTATCTGTACTTATGTTTGCTTCAGCGAATGAATTCATTGATTTATCTTCTATTTTTAGTCGTGATGCTGATATTATTTTCACCCTAACAATGTGCGGAAACACTACAATGGTTCTATGGATGGTACTTCTTGCAACATTTTATTGCAACCATGTAGCAGTTGAACCAATGACATTTTCAAGTTAAAGCTATCTATAGAATTTTAAGTTGATTTCGAGGAACATCGTAAAACGACATAAAGTCTTCTTTTCACCATGATTATGTCTTTCACTAACGTAATTAACAATAACACTATTTAAACGGCCTATTTGTATCGCAATATAATAGTAATCTTTGCCCTCAATGTGAAAAGCATCAATTATGACTTTCCCGCTCTCCGAAAGTTCTCTTCCACGAGGGATTTCACCTCCTAACCTTTACAAACACATCTTGAGAATGTAAATTGAAACAAATGAAGGTAACATGATGAATTTGTTTACTTGCGAAGTCCGATGGATGCTAACGTAAAGAGGATATATAAAATTAATATACTATATATTTATGAATCGTCTCAAAATCAAGTTTTACGAAACTCAACTTACATTTATGTTAATACGCCACTTTTATTTTACATAATTTATTTTATACGCATTACGAATTAGTATTTAAGAAATGCTAACCGTAATCTCGCACCAAAGCTAGATCGTGGGAAAAATGAGTCCATATGACATGAATTCATGATATGAATTAATATATATCAATACACAATGTATACGGATCTTATTCTACTTTTAAATTCCTAGTGAAAAACTATCAAATATTTTATTAAAAATCAAGTGCATATTGAGGGTATGCTCCCATTGCATCGATTCCGTACTAAGCATACAAAACTAGTACTTAAACAGTTTTGAAGGTCACTTATCAAAATGGACGCGACGACCTTTATTGATTTGCACAGATTTAAAATCAAGGTACCACATTTTCCTCGTCGTTATCTTCATTTTTACAGTTACAATAATCTTATGCATTTGACAGATAATAATTATCGCTGTAAATTTGTCTCGCCAATTAAAAATGAACTTCATTTTTTGGCATTACTTTATTGTAAATCTACGATTCACAGTGAACTTTTTCTGGATTACATTAATTGTCTACTCAGATAAAAGCTAACATTATTGATTGACATGATATCTGACTTATTATTACATCCTTGATTCACTTTTGGAACATATAAATATTAACATTTGATAAAAAAAATTGTAACAAACATTTTTTGAAAAAAAAAAAACCGACTTCGAAAAATACAAAAATGTAATATAATTCACAAAAATCTACTCGTAGTCGGTATCTTGCCTAAGAATACAATTCAAAATTAATATTGAATTGGTTCCAGTCTGGTTGAAACTGGGAGCAAATGTGCACATCACTATCGTGTAGCCCACTTCAAGTTAGTAACTCATAATCTAAAGCACTGCTCTGACAGAAAACGCTTTTTAAAAGTGTAACGTCAAAATTCTTCAATGTGGAGGTTCCTGGAATGTTATAAAGGTTTACCCTACAATGATCTTAAAAGATCAAACTAAAGTCAGCTATATACATAACTATATACAATACTTTAGAGCTATATTTGTAGGAGTTAGTTGAATGTGTATACCTAACATACATCCTGTATAAAATTAGCGCCCCATTTTGAAAATTGTAAAATTCTATGTGTTGTTCTAGATTATTCTAGACTTGTTCTAAATTGTTCCACAAAATAAAACTTTAATAATAAATATTTTAACGGAAAATTAAAAAAAAAACAGCTGTTTGACCTGACACCTCATTTTTCGAAAATTAAATTTTTGGTGGTTATTCCAGATTGTTCTAGTTATACCAAATAGTGTTCCAAAGTAGTAATTCTCCAAACAAAGTATCTAAAAAGATATAATATTAACACGATATCGAGCGCGCAAACAGCATTTTTACGTCTACTGCTATCATTAACACTTTTTTTACATTAAATTATATATTTAAACTAATAATTAACATAACAACTTAGAACAACTCTGATTTTTGGCAGAACAAATTTTTTAAGGTCACTTTACTCTTGAAAGAAAAACATATTTCTTCCCTTTTTTGTTATTTGTTTTTCTTTTTAAGCTGATATAATAGAAAACCAATTTATAAGACCTTATTTCTTCTCTGTTAATAAAACATCCGATGGGTTTTTACATTTGTTGTGTGACGTATTGTCTAAATTATAGGACGATGTTCCTTATGCGATATGATTAAATTCTGTCTTTAAATGGAACGCAGCTTTATCGCACTTGAGGCGAACTGTGAGAAATGTTCTAAATGAAAGTTACCAATATGTAACTTGGTAAAATACTTGGATATGTAACTTGGACTGCGATTGTAAAATATTTTGATCACTACTATCTCTAGACGTATTACGTGAATTCTTGTTTCTAAGCGCTAATATACCGAATACTCAGTTACATAAAATCTGTTATGAATTCAGTCCGTATTCGGCTGTACCACGAGTTACATGGCACCCGGTATACTATTGCAATAAATATATACATGTATACAGCTGAAGTATGCAAAACTCAAGTATACAGTGACATAAACGTATACGTATAGCAGGCTTCGTATGCAAAACTTGATGACGTTCATGCAATTAACAGTATGCGTGCATTGTGCACATATGCACATTCGCCATGAGAACGTAGAATGCATATATTCATCGTACAGGGAACAGAGTGCGTTGAAAGGGTGGTAGAATCCGCAAAGAACGGAAGACAGGAGAAGCATCGAAGCCCGACAAAACGAAATGTTTCGTCGTGGAAGAAGAAGCCGGCGGATATAATGGATATCTTTATTATCGAAGGGAGAGGCAAAGCCGATGGGAGTCGGGTAAAGTCGTCGTGGTATCGCAACAGCCCAACCCAACGTCGACGACAACGACGCGACACGACGCGATGCAACGCGACGTTCCACTCGACCAGGCTAACAGAACTTCGGTCCAATTGGTCTACCCTTCCCCCTTCCCCGACATAAATATTGATGAAAACGATACATTTATACGCGAACGACAAGTCCGTCCGCGGATAAAAAGTCAAGAGATTTATCGGGATGCGGCCTCGCGACGACAGCCATTTCTGCGCCGATCATACATCAAGCAGAGCCTTCAGGCCAATTCTGAACGAGCTCATACGATTCCTGTTTCTAGAGCGATCCACCTTTGATTCGTTAAAAAGTGCTGTTTCGGCTAGATTTTTTTTTCTTTGTTTGCCCATTTGCATCGTTTTGTTAGAACAGAAAATGGATCTGTATTGCAGAAATTTGTTTTTCAACCCTCGTCTTACAGAGATTGCGATCCTAAAAATTCTTCATTCAGTCACGGTGTTCTGAGAGAGACAGAAATTTAAATCCTGTGCTACTGTGCTATCGTATAATATAAAACTGTATGAGCATGAGCCGTCAGTTTTGAAACCGACATGTCACTTTTTGAGAACAATGAATTAAAGCTATTTACAATTACAGAAATGTATATGGTTTTTTTATCTTTGACAGTTTCATTTGTAATCCTTACAACTTATTTCTTTAATAGAAATTTGACTGTTATATAAAAATGTAAATTTATTTTGATAGTGGCATAAGCCTTTAATATAATTTTAATTTTATTAAATTATAATAGAAAATTTGTTTCATACTACTATTAAACGCTGATAATCACAATTAAATAATTATTACAATTTAGTTTTATTTCATTATATTACTATAAATATTACATTACAAAATAACACTCGTATGTGCCTACTATATTACTGCGTTAAAGTTTAATTTACACACTGCCTAAATTTACAGTTTTACAGTATGTGTAGCTTTATAGAGAAATTAGTAAAGAATTAAAATATTAAATAAAATAAAAATTTCAAAATTCGAAATTAAAAAAACAACAAAACTTACCTTAAGAAAATGAGTTATTGAATATAATAAAATCAAAGTAGAATCATCAGCGATTGTTATGTTAGACCTATTAAAAAGTTCTGTTCATTATTTTCAATACCTTTATTAATATTTACTGAAAAATATAATTATTAATTAGTTATTAAACTAAACAGTGAGGGTAGGCAAATTTATTCGCTAAAATAAAATTAACTTAAGATACTTTATACATATTTGTACTAAAATAAATAAAGGAATGGCCATAAATGGTATTATACAATTACATTGAACAAATTTTCAACTAATTATCAAGCTAGTAAATTTAATATATGAAGCTCCGCCATCGCGTGAAGCAGCAGACCTAAAGAAACACTAAAATTTTAAATAATATAAATAGTAACAAAAGCAAATTCTAAGATTAAATATTTGGAATTCCCAGAGAGACAGTAAATGTGTTAAGCAACCTATCTCTAATATTTATATGAAATGAAATATTTATGCATTCCGCAAATAACGATTTACTAATAAGGATAATCAAGTTACACCTGAAATGATTTAATTAAGTAGATATCCAATTAAGATGGCAAAACAGTTACTAAAAGGAGATGAAATGAACTGTCGATTGTGTTTAGGAACACTTCTTTTACTTCACTTGCTAGCATGTTTTGTAGGCATCATTAGAACCGGTTCCCTTGAACGCGTGGCGTCGAATGAAACACGCCAGGAAATTATTTAAGACTTTGATCTTGCTAATTTAATAGCGAACTGTACCGCAAAAAGAATGTTTCGAAGGAGCGGCACGGACATCAACTGCACGCGTTAAACTTGATTTACTCCTGTTAGATCAATGGTATCATACAGAAATAAAGACAACTAAAATTTATACAGGTTGTATCCAAAATTATTTCCCACAATATACTAATTTTTTATAATTTAAAAAACATGGTCCACGTAAAAATATTAATGTACATAATAATCAATACTGTGTATTGTCGTATCTTCCAAAATTTTTATTAAAAAGAAAAATAAAAACAATTTTTATTCTTAAAATAAAAAGTAATGCAGTAACATACTTTCATATATTATTTTGCCTATCTAATTGCAAAATAATTTTTCTTTTAATAATAGTTAACGATACAATTCAGAAATTAATCATTGATACATAAATTCAAATACAAAGACAACAAGTACATAGTATTTAACGTTCATTTGTTTATTATAGTGAATTTTTATAGCTATTTCTATTAAACTTCAAACTTCGATTTAATGCAACATAATACATTTTTATACTTATACGTCATTCAATCAGTGTCATTCGTAAAACAGTAATCTATAATACACAGCTTGCTTTAATCTTAATTTGCTACACCTTACACCCAACCATTTCATACTGAAAATCAATTATAAACAGTTTATATTATAATTTCATGAAATCTTAAGTTTTAAATTCGTATAAAATAAACATTATTTTGTATAACTTTTGACATCGAGTCATATTGTTTTTTTTTCAGGAAGAAACAACATTTCTACCCGATCAGTTTTCTTATTGAAATTTATGTTCGTATCTTATATATATATTTATTTCGCTAAATTTTATTAAAGAATAATAACGCAAAAGAAGCTAATACGTTTAAAAAAAGTTTCAAGCTACGATACGCCATCTCTCGCAAAGATAGCATTGATGCCGATCACGATGCAACCGATCGCCTCACCGAGAATGTTTTCTTACAACAAGATCCCTGGACGGGCAGGGGCCCCCAGACCCCTTTATTGGATTTAGTCCCCTAATGATTTTGTCAAGCCGGGATGAAAAGAACCTGCCAACATTCCGTCGTGACTCGTTCTGCATTTGAATTTGGCGCTGTAGCCACGCTTTCCGAACCGTCAGGGAGCCCCTCGTAAATTATGTTTCACGGATCGTAACCCATCACCTAACACAATTATCCGCGAGAAACAACCGGCAGAGATGATCTTTTAACGTTATTCGATGTCGATCATCTATAAATTACCTGCTACGATTTATATTTCATCCTGTTACATCTCAAAAACATGCACGTTTGAACATTTTCTCATAAGTTCAACTTCTGCTTCTATTGTACATTAAGTTTTTGTTAATTAGAATAACAAGTATGTGCAAATTTAAATTCCATGCTTTTCAGTATTTTTAAGTTATCAAATTTTTTATTTTCAAATTTGATAATTTGAATATTTTCGTGTTTTTAAATTT